GCAGTGTGCCACCATAGACAGTACTGTGCCCAGGTCCTGATGACAGTCTTAATTATTTAATGGTAGCACTGAGGGTATGTAGAAGATACCATCTGCTCTCCATGGGAGACGCAGGGAACCACAGTCAGCATCTCTGATTGAAATCACTTCCGGTCTCCATGGCATGTGGTGTCTATAAAACCATACAGTAGAAACTATACTGAACAAAAATATAAATGCAAAATGTAAAGTGTTGGTAACATTTTTCATGAGCTGAAATAAAAGATCCCAGACATTTTCCATATGCAGAAAAATCTTCTTTCTCAAAAATGATGTGCACAAATGTATTTACATCCCTGTTAGTGAGCATTTCTCCTTTGCCAAGATAATCCATCCACCTGACAGGTGTGACATATCAAGAAGCTGATTAAACAGCATGATCATTACACAGGTGCACTTTGTGCTGGGGATAATAAAAGGCCACTCTAAAATATGCAGTTTTGCCACACAACACAATGCCACAGATGTCTCAAGTTTTGAGGGAGTGTGCAATTGGCATGCTGACTGCAGGAATGTCCACCAGTGCTGTTGCCAGAGAATTGACTGTTAATTTCTCTACCATAAGCCTCCTCCAACGTCGTTTTAGAGAATTTGGCAGTACATCCAACCGGCCTCACAACCGCAGACCACGTGTAACCACTCCAGCCCAGGACCTCCACATCCGGCTTCTTTACCTGCAGGATCGTCTGAGGAGTGGGAAGGGGGGTGCTGAGGAGTATTCTAACTGGACAAAAGCTGTTAACCGAATTCCAAATGAGTGAGCTGGCAGATCATATTTGATCAGCAGTATGTCGGGGAGCAAACATGTCACAGGGAGAGAGAAGCTTTGTCCAGAGTTTAAGCTCAGGGGTGTTAGCCACTGTCATTACTGCTTTTCCAAGGACTTTTCTACTCCTCTAGGACTGATAGCACACTAAGCCTGTGTTATCCCAGGTACACTGTGCACACACAGACAGCCTTAACCACTGTATAACAGCAGGGGGAAACCACCTAGTGACAAAACCACCACAGGTCTTCTCCTAGAGGAACAGCTTTTGCAAAAGACACATTTTGCCGTTTCAGTCTAGAGAATGTACCTAAAAAGTGGCTGGAGCTGAAGAGGCAAGTGTATATGGTGAGTGTTTTGGGCAAATGTCATTCACATAAAACCTGGATCCCCATTGCCGAGAGAGGCCTCAGGGCAATCAACCAATGAAAAGGTCAAGCTTCCATTAGCGTTCTCCTCCACTTTATCGTATGGACCTAACTCTCTACATTTCACTTTCTATACAGTATCTGTCTCTACCTTTCCTATTTTATACTGCTCCTTAATACCCAACCACCTCCCTCCTCTTCTATATCGGTGATGGTACTCACAACAGGGATAGGTCAGGAGCATGATGTCATCCATGGCAATGTAGCCTTGCCGCTCCCTGGAAACAGTTGCTTCGATCAGGACCTGGGAAGTAGAATAAAAACAAATAAGTGAGATAGCATGGAGGAATAAATATTGAGACAAATTTGATTGCTGTTATCCTTTATACAATTGAATGAAGCTTTGGTCTTCGTTTTGAAGCATTTCAAACATGTTAAGAGGCATTTGCATCAAATCAAACTGTCCTCCTTCTGAGGCAGAGGTCTTAATTCTCCTGATTCTGCCTCCTCAACCCTCCTCTCCTCCCTTTCTGCATCCTTTGACTCCCTGTGTCCCCTATCCTCCCGGCCGGCTCGGTCCCTCCCCTCCAGCTCTGTGGCTTGATGACTCATTGCGAGCTCACAGAACAGAGCTCCGGGCAGCTGAGCGGAAATGGAAGAAAACTAAACTCCCTGCCGACCTGGCATCTTTTCACTCCCTCCTCTCTACATTTTCTTCATCTGTTTCTGCTGCTAAGGCCACTTTCTACCACTCTAAATTCCAAGCATCTGCCTCTAACCCTAGGAAGCTCTTTGCCACATTCTCCTCACTGCTGAATCCCCCCCCCCCCCCCCCCCCCCCCCCCTCCTCCCTCTCTGTGGATGACTTTGTCAACCACTTTGAAAAGAAGGTTGACGACATCCGATCCTCGTTTGTTAAGTCTAATGACACTGCTGGTCCTGCTCACACTGCCCTACCCTATGCTTTGACTTCTTTCTCCCCTCTCTCTCCAGATAAAATCTTGCGACTAGTGACTGCAGGCCGCCCAACAACCTGCCCGCTTGACCCCATCCCCTCCTCTCTTCTCCAGACCATCTCCGGTGACCTTCTCCCCTACCTCACCTCGCTGATCAACTCATCCTTGACCGCTGGCCATGTCCCTTCCGTCTTCAAGAGAGCGAGAGTTGCACCCCTTCTCAAAAAACCAACACTCGATCCCACTGATGTCAACAACTACAGACCAGTATCCCTTCTTTCTTTTCTTTCCAAAACTATTGAGCGTGCCGTCTTTAGCCAACTCTCTTGCTATCTCTCTCAGAATGACCTTCTTGATCCAAACCAGTCAGGTTTCAGGACTGGTCATTCAACTGAGACTGCTCTTCTCTGTGTCACGGAGGCTCTCCGCACTGCTAAAGCTAACTCTCTCTCCTCTGCTCTTGTCCTTCTAGACCTGTCTGCTGCCTTTGATACAGTGAACCATAAGATCCTCCTCTCCACCCTCTCCGAGCTGGGCATCTCCGGTGCGGCTCACTCCTGGATTGCGTCCTACCTGACCGGTCGCTCCTACCAAGTGGCGTGGCGAGAAGCTGTCTCCGCACCACGTGCTCTCACCACTGGTGTCCCCCAGGGCTCAGTTCTAGGCCCTCTCCTTTTCTCCCTATACACCAAGTCACTTGGCTCTGTCATATCCTCACATGGCCTCTCCTATCATTGCTACGCTGACGATACACAACTAATCTTCTCCTTTCCCCCTTCTGATAACCAGGTGGCGAATCGCATCTCTGCATGTCTGGCCGACATATTAGTATGGATGACGGATCACCACCTCAAGCTGAACCCTGGCAAGACGGAGCTGCTCTTCCTCCCGGGGAAGGACTGCCGTTCCATGATCTCGCCATCACGGTTGACAACTCCGTTGTGTCCTCCTCCCAGAGTGCGAAGAGCCTTGGCGTGACCCTGGACAACACCCTGTCGTTCTCCGCCAACATCAAGGCGGTGACCCGATCCTGCAGGTTCATGCTCTACAACATTCGGAGAGTACGACCCTGCCTTACACAGGAAGCGGCACAGGTCCTAATCCAGGCACTTGTCATCTCCCGTCTGGATTACTGCAACTCGCTGTTGGCTGGGCTCCCTGCCTGTGCCATTAAACCCCTACAACTCATCCAGAATGCCGCAGCCCATCTGGTGTTCAACCTTCCCAAGTTCTCTCACGTCACCCCCCTCCTCCGCACACTCCACTGGCTTCCAGTTGAAGCTCGCATCCGTTACAAGACCATGGTGCTTGCCTATGGAGCAGTGAGGGGAACGGCACCTCCGTACCTTCAGGCTCTGATCAGTCCCTACACCCAGGCGAGGGCATTGCGTTCATCCACCTCTGGCCTGCTGGCTCCCTTCCTCTGCGGAAGCATAGTTCCCGCTCAGCCCAGTCAAAGCTGTTCGCTGCTCTGGCACCCCAATGGTGGAACAAGCTCCCTCACGACGCCAGGACAGCGGAGTCACTCACCACCTTCCGGAGACATTTGAAACCCCACCTCTTTAAGGAACACCTGGGATAGGATAAAGTAATCCTTCTACTAACCCCCCCCCCCCCCCCCCCCCCCCCCCCAAAAAAAATAATAATTGTAAAGTGGTTATCCCACTGGCTATAGGGTGAATGCACCAATTTGTAGTCGCTCTGGATAAGAGCGTCTGCTAAATGACGTAAATGTGCCCTTGAGCAAGGCACTTAACCCTAATTGCTCCTGTAAGTCGCTCTGGATAAGAGCGTCTGCTAAATGACTAAAATGTAAATGTAAAAATGTTAATTACTATCACAAAGCTCTACACAATTCATTGCACAGTTACTGACCCACAAGATAGGTCAGGGAAAAAAGAGAGAGGACCAAGGATCCAAATCTTTAAGAATGGGGACAAATTTGACCCTAACAATTACTGAGGCATTTGTGTAAACAGTAACCTGGTTTTCTGTAGTGTTACACACTGAGTATACAAAACATTAGGAACACCTTCCTAAAATTGAAGTTGCACCCCCCTCCCCTCCCCTCCCCCTTTCCTTCAGAACAGCCTCAATTCGTCAGGGCATGGACTCTACAAGGTGTCGAAATAATTCTACAGGGATGCTGGCCCATGTTGACTCCAATGCTTCCCACAGTTGTGTCAAGATGGCTGGATGTCCTTTGGGTGGTGGACCATTCTTGCTACACACGGGAAACTGTTGAGTGTGAAAAACCCAGCAGTGTGGCAGTTCTTGACACAAACCGGTGCGCCTGGCACCTACTACCATACCCCGTTCAAAGGCACTCAAATCTTTTGTCTTGCTTATTCACACTCTGAATGGCACACATACACAATCCATGTCTCAATTGTCTCAAGGCTTAAAAATCCTTCTTTAACCTGTCTCCTACCCTTCATCTACACTGATTGAAGTGGATTTAACAAGTGACATCAACAAGGGATCATAGCTTTCACCTAGATTCACCTGTACTATGGAGGACTAAAAGTGCCACAATTAAATAAATAAATACACCATTAAATAATTACTTAAATGTGTCATTAATTAATTCAAATTAGAATTAAATACATAAATGTGTAATTAAATGTATCATTAATTAATTCAAATACCGATTCATTTTATGTAAAATACATATATAATTATTTCACTATTTACATTTACATTTCATGATCCTGCATTGCAGTGATTCATGAATTACTTAAAACTGTCAAACTGACCCATCAAAGTCAGTGGGCGGGGCTAACGCGAATCTAGTCTGATCCATTGCTTTGGTCTGAAGTAGAGTAGGCCAACCTGGATAGAGACAATGGAGGATCTCCGTGAACTTTCCAGGGAGTTGGTTAGAGACATTTTAAACTTAGCAGAGGATGTAGAAGCAGGACCTGCTGACCCAGAGCATGTAGCTAGTAAAGCAGAGGAACTTATTGAAGTTGTTGGAGTCATTTCCGCACTTTCCGACGAAGATATCGACCACAGAGTGATTGCAAATCTAGAAGAAGTTGTCCACCGCTTCTCTGGTACCAGGGCACTTCAGGCCCAACACACACAGGGACCGGGGCTTTTGGCGTTTGACATACCGAGTGCAGTTCTGGAGCATCAACTTCTTTGTGGAGTTCCCCGCAGTTCAAATTGCAGCGATGTTCGGTGTGTCAAAGAGGACCATCAGGAGGCGCATGCAACAATACAGTTTAAGGTATTTACACTAAATTCATGAGTTTTCTGTTTATGAATTGCTGCTCTCATACACTCTGAAAGAATATGACGTTTAAGGTAACATTACTTGATGTTGTGTTTTTCTTGTTTGTACAGAAAGACAGATCTCTATTCAGCTGTGAATGATGAGGAGTTAGACCGTATTGTAAGTGAAATTCACAGAAGTCATCCAAACACCGGCTACAAGCTAATGCGTGGTCACCTGAATTCAAGAGGTGTGCATGTTCCAAGTGAAGTAGATAATAATATGGGCATTATTTAAATGTATTTTTAATTTGGAGCTCTGCCCCTTTGAAAGGTGAAGGAAGCCCGCTTATGGAAAGACAATCGCCTCTGAGATGTAGATGTGTAGAAGAAATTTGAAGAAACCCCCCTTTCGGGACGCTGACTTGTATCATCAGGATAGACATGCCCTGTGTTTTAGCCTCCTTTTTAATGAGGGGAAAAATATCTGACAGTAATATTCCAGCTTCCGGATGGCCCCCTGTAAGGGTATATAAAATCTAGAAAAGCAAAACATGAGGAAAAAAATCTCATCTCTCTGTTCGAGCATTTGGTTTTATCTATCTTCTATCTATCTATCACTATCTATCTATCTATCTATCTTCTATCTTCTATCCTATCTATAATGTGTGTATATAATTATGTGTTTTGTTATTGTATATTTTATATATTGTGTGTATGTAATAATTATTTAAATATATTTAATTTTTAATTATTTTGTTTGTTTTTTTTTGTTTTTTTTTTTTTTGTTGTTTTTTTTTATTTTTTTTTTTATTTTTTATTTTGGGGCTCCCCCTTTCTTTTCCCTCTATTTTCCCCCTCCCTTTCCTACCTTTTCCCTTTTCCCTCCTCTCTCCCTCTCTCTCTCCCTCCCTCTCTCTCTCTGTCTCCTCTCCCCCTCTCTCTTTCTGTCTGTCCCAATATCTGACCGTACAGTACATTTTTGAAGCTGTGGTGGTTCTGTATAGTTGCCTGTTTTACCCCCATTATTTATTTTATTTGACACCACTCTATCCTCAAAATAAGTAGCCAGTGAGTGTGTGGTTATTCATTTTAATTCCTCCCCTCCGTCTCAAGACTGCAGAGTCTTTACGCAGAGTCAATGCAGAGGGAGTCTACATGAGACGTCTGAGGCTGCTGCTGTATAAGGCGACGCAGTATTTTGTTCCTGGCCCCAACTCTTTGTGGCATATAGATGGCCACCATAAGCTTATCAGGTCAGTGATATTAGCAGATAAACAATGCATCTTTCTATATGTTTCATTACAATTGTTATACAATAAAGTTATATTTTTCATGTGTTTGCAACAGGTGGAGATTTGGTTGTCCACGGTGGGGTGGATGGATTCAGTCGTTTAGTGGTCTACCTGACTGTGGCCGGCAATAATAGAGCTCATACGGTCTTACAGAGCTTTATCGCCGCTGTTGAGCAGTATGGGCTGCCATCAAGGGTACGGTCTGACAAAGGGGGGGGAGAATGCAGATGTAGCAGAATTCATGATCAGAAGCAGAGGTACCGACAGGAATTCACACATCACAGGCAGAAGTGTCCACAATCAGCGGTAAAGAAATATGTTTGGCAACTAGGCTCACACAACTAACATACTAGTTGAATGTACTTTAGCATATGTCATAAATTAACAATTTCTCAATTTTATCCTAAACACAGAATAGAGAGGATGTGGAGAGATGTTTATGAACATGCCCTGGACCTCTTCTATCAGATCTTTACTTCATTGGAAGATCAGGAGACACTGAATCCAGACAATGAAGTCCATCTTTTCGCTCTGCACCGGATTTTCCTTCCACTGGTTCAGCAAAGCCTCGACTCTTTTCGAGATGCTTGGAACTTCCACGGTCTTAGAACTGAAAGGAATCAGTCACCACAGCAACTCTGGAGAAGTTACAGAGAGCAAGGCCCTGAGGAGGATCCTACTGAGGTTAACAATGAACTTTAAACACTTTCTTAAAATTGTTTCCCCAAAGGAATTATGGGAGAAAAAAATGGTTGCTAAATGTGATACTTTAAATGAAACATTTACTATAGATTATTGTCTCTTTAAAATCTCCCGAGCTTTTAAAGATCAACCTGTGAGCTGTAGTTTCTACAGTGCATACTATGCAAAGCTGTATTATTTTAAAAAACTGAATAAGTAACATTCATTTCTCACTGCCTTGGTGACCAAAAATAACAATCTTGTGTAAGGACATGTCAAACTAGTTTTAAGTACAAGACTGATTATGCTTGTCATCCATTCAGGTTCCTGAAGAATATGGGATCGATTGGAACGGACCTCACTGCCTTCATCGAGGCACTGTGTCAGTCCCCGAGGTTCAGCTGGCCCGTGAGCTCTCAGATGAAGAGGTTGCAATTTTGCCAGCTCCAGGAGTTTCTGTTACTGATGCACTTAGACTATATGTAGAGACTGTGGAAGTGTTATCAAGAATCTTAGACTGATGTCCAACCCATTTTTTTATTTGTTGTGTTAGAACAAGCAAGGAAAAACTGAAAGTTTACTTTCCTTTTAAAAGAAAGGAAAAAAAGCTGTTTCTTTGAAGCTTCCTGTCTCATTATGGTCCACAGAATGACTAACATGAATGCTGTACTGTTAGCACTGAAGGTGCAGAACAGTTTGATTTTAGTAAATGGAAGAAAAAAAAGTCAACTACTGCACAGTGTGTTAATGTTTTCAAAGACACTGAACTTGTGTCAATTCATCTGAACTGTGTATGCATTGACATTAGGGCTGGGCAATATGGAGAAAATCAAATATCACATTTTTGACCTAACACCTTGATGTCGATATTGCAACGATATTGTAAGGTTGACAATTGGTGCATTCACAAATATCTTCCACATTTAGATTTTCGGATAAATAACTATCATATTGTGGATATAATGACTAAGTGGTAAAGGCAAATAATAGAACAGCTAGAACAGTCTGGTAAGTTCAGAAAATGACATCACTTTACTGTAATGCAGCCTTTGAAACCAGGAAAAGACTAAACTTACCATGTAACGATATTACACTTCTTCAAAATCTAATGGTGCTTTTCCATTACATGGTACCTACTCGCCTCGCCTCGCCTTTTTTGGTTTTCCATTACGAAAAAAAGTACCTGGTACCTGCTAACATATACTTTTTTTTAGCACCTGCTCAGTCGAGGTTCCAAGCGAGCTGAGGCGAGCCGAGAAGGTGACGTGAAACCCTGCAGGCTGCTGATTGGTCGGAAAGAATCGTCACTGATCACTGCATTGCCAGCGACAGACAGCATTTTAAATAGTTTAGCCAGCGGTGGTTTTTTACTGGCCGGAGGCTCCACGCAGAGCTTTCTTCTCCGTAGCATACAAGTGGCCTGATGGTTATACTGGTGCGCTGGTGTGTGTAATGTGTGATGTGTGTGTGTCGAGTCGCCAATATGTGTGTGTGTGTGTTTGTGTGTAGCTAGTGAGCGAGGGAGAAGTGAGAGAGTGAACCGGCGATTATCTCCGCAGCGAGTAGCGACTCTAGTCCATATATATGTGAGAGAAACAAAGCGAGTAGCGACTCTAGAGTCATATATATGTGATCACGGTGGGAAATCTGGAGCAGTTAACGTTAACTATCTCTTTGATATCATGTTGTTCACGGAGACTGAGAACCAGGAAATGCGGCGGGGGATTTTGTCAATGGGAAAGCAAGCTACTAAGCCACGCCCACGGCAGTCGCTATGACGACCAGCCACGCTGAGGCAATCCTAAAATCTGCAATGGGAAACGGACGCACAGCGAGTCGAGGCGAGGCGAGTCAAGTAGGTACTGGGTAATGGAAAAAGCACCTTAAGACGATATCTAGTCTTATATCACGATAGATATAATTTTAAAATATGCCCAGCCCTAATTGACGTCTGAAAAAACTTAAACAAGCCCAAATCCAGTACTTTTTATGGCAGCGACAAGTGCTTTCTCAAAGTCCATGTAGAGTTTGAAATGAAGCTGGCAGCTTTAGGGTTTCAAAGCATGTGGAGGACGTAGGAATGGGTTCCCCCAGAAATCTCCACTCTCAAGTTCAGGAGGAAAGCATCTCCAGCCAACCCAGAATGTCAGCAGGCTGGGCCAGGGTTACCTGATGAAGCTAAAAGTCATAAAATGGATTAAAGACATTTAGTTTCACTGTAATTGATCATAATCTATCCATGAGACATAGAAGCATTTGTAAAGAGAGAAAATAAGGTTTATCCTGTTTCTCAATGAACATCCTTAGAAAGCCAGTGATGCGGCAGGTGTGGTGCTAAGTCAAAGTCTTCATCATCACTGTCCTAACTGCCATGTGATTTTTTCTAGGAGCATCCTTAAAGAAAACAAAAATTGTAATTTAAAAAAAGGGAGAACTTATTTGGTGAAGGCTATGCAGATCAAATTCTTAGAAAATGGAAAAATATCCATCTCAGTCATTGAAAATACAACGTAAATCATCAAGTTAAGTCACAAATATAACTAAATTACTGACTTACCTGGGGTGTGAACTGCATTTCAGCCATTTTGGGGAAAAGAAGTGGTACAAAACAACATCCCGGCCTAGATGTCAGCAGGGGCCATACCATCACATCTTTCAGTCCCTTTCTCAACTGTTTAATTTGGCGCATGGGTCCTCCCACGACCTAAGAGACAGAACCGACCCATATTACAAGCCCAAATCCTTAACACCAAATTTGACAAAAGTTGGCACAGTAGGAAAAATGTTAATAAACACAATAAAGTGCTTTATAAAAATCCATTAAAACTCTAGTACTTTAAACTCTCGTGTTAACATAACAAGCCAGGGTTCACAACACATTCTGATAATTTCATCAACAAGTACACGATGAATTCCTGTCACTTAACCAGCAGGAACTCACTGCATGGAGTAGAAGTTTGTTATGTAGCCATCTCCGATTTGTTTTGGTGACTGCCGGAAGATCCCAAGACATGGAAAGATCTGAAACTGTGTCCGTCTGTTCCGGTGTAAGATCTTCATGTTCAAGCTAGAATTAAGACCATACAAGTTATTAATATCTGCCCAAGCAATATTTTTTACATGGCAAAGTTTATTTTAGGTTACAATACCAGTTCTATGATGCTCCTGATGGTGCAGATCAGGACAGTCTTCTGTAACAACAGTAGCCATTTCAGGGGCCCCATTGAACAACTAATTACGCAGGGCTTATCCTGTGACATGGGACCATATGCAAAGGTGTGGCCCAAAACCTTCCCGCAACCCCGGGAAAAGGTTTCTTTCAATAAGTCCCTTATGCGCTGGAAAAAGATGGTCGGTTCACCCCAAATACGGGTTTTGGCCCATTCCCCCGTAAGTACCAAGAGAGCAGGGAAAAAAGTCCAACAAAACCCCTTAAAACATTAAAAAAAATTATGAAATAAAAGATTTTAAAAGTAGATAATAGATATTTACATCATACTAGTGGGGATTACTTGGCCTTGGTAATTGCTGCTTGTAAATTCCTAAAAAAAAAAAATTGTAAACCTACTCCAAAATGACTTCAGAAGGACCCCCCAAAACCCCTTCAAATTCAATTTCCCCCGTAAAACCCTAACAGCTTTCCTAACAAACTTGCCCCCGCCCCCCGCTAAACAGCACTATCCCGTTCATCAACCCAGAACGTACTGTACGCGTGTGTGTGTGTCGCGCGCTAAGAGAGGCTGAGGTGAGCACACCAAACAGGGGCTCATCACTTTTTATGCAGTGTGAGAATGCAAGCAGCAAGCCAAAAGCCAATTGTGCTTCTTTTTCCTTATTTTAACGCTATTTTTGCGTTTTCCAACGTCGTCAAAAATTGGCACTGCACTTACTCGTGACCGAGCAAAACAACCTTCAAGTTTGAAATCCATCGGCAACTGGAGACATGCACAGCGACTTTCCAAAATTTTTAAAGGTTAACCTTTAAAAAATTTGTAAATACTTACCCAAAATCTAGACTGAAACCAAAATGGAGTTTGGAATGATTTTTTGTCATAAAGTACCGCATCACTCCCTCCCGATAGCACATCACCTGAAAAAATACTATAATACCTGGAAAAAAAATGGGGGCCTAAAACAGGGAACTGGATTTTTAAAATTTTTCAAGAAGGGGGAAAAAACTTCTATTTGGGTGTAATTCTAAAGCATCCTTAAATTGTTATTCCAGATAACAAATATATTGTGCCAAAATTCCATACATACATTAAAATTTTTTATCAATTATATAATTTTTTGCATTCCCTTCCCCCCATTTAAAAAAATTCCATATAAGCTTTGAGTGGTTAAAAATGTACGATTATTTTTTATAAATGTTATATTCTTTCCAACCAATAAATGAGTGGACTGCCCATTTTTGCTCTGTTTTATAATAAGAGAAACCCCGTTTCCCCTTCCTCTTCAGAGTCCCTTACTCCTTTTTTTTTTTTGTGTTTTGGTTTTTTTTTTTGGTTTCCCCCCAAAAACCCCCCCCTGCAACCAAAACCCCGCCCCCCCCCCCAAACAAAAAACCCACCGCCCCCCCCAAAACCCCCAAAACCCCCCCACACAAACCCCCCCAAACCCAAATTTAAAAAAAAAAAAATTTTTTGTTTTTTTTGTATGTTTTCCTTTTCCCCCCCGGGCCCCCACCCCTCAACCCCCCCCCTTTTCCAAAACCCGCCCCCCCCAAACCCCCCCCCCCCACCCCCCCCCCCGGGCGGGCCCCCCTTCCGCCGCCCCTTTTTTTTCCCCGGCTCCCCCGTTTTTTTTTTTTTTTTTAAAATTAACAAATTGAAAAGGTCAATTTTTTTTTGTTTTTTGGAAATTTTTTTTTTGGTTGTTTTTCTTTAGGTTTTGATTTTGAAAAAAAAATTTTTTTGGGAATTTTTTTTTTTTGGGGGTACTTTGGGGGGATTTGGTTTTGGTTTTTTTTTTTGTTTTTGTTTTGATTTGTTTTGTTTTGTTGGTTTGGGTAAATTTTGGTGGGTTGTGGTAGCCTGTTTGTTGGTTTTGGGGGGTGGTATTTTTTGCTGGGAAAAGAAGCCCCTTTTGTGGGGGTTGTTTTTTAAATTAAAGTTTGTTGGGGTTGGCCTTTTTTTTTTTTTTTGGGTTGGGGTTTTGGGTTTTTTTTGTGTGTGTTTTTTGTTGTTTTGTTTTTTGGGTTTTGTGTTTTGGGGTTTTTTTTTTTTGGTTGTTTTTTGGGTGGTTTTTTATTTTTTTTTGTTGGTGGTTGTTTGGGGTTGGGTTTTTGTTGTGGGGTGTTTGTGTTTGGTTTTGTTGTGTGGTGTTGTTTTTTTGGTTGGTTTTTGGGGGTTGTGTGGGGTTTGTTGGGTTTTTTTTTTTTTGGGTGTTTGTTTGTTTGGTTTTTTGTTTTAAAAAAAAGTGTGGGTTTGATGTTGTTGGTTTTTTTAAGTGTGTTTGAAAATTTTGTAAATGGTTGTTTTGTTTTTTGGAAGGGGTTTTTTTGGGGGGTTTGTTTGTTTGGGGGGGTTTGGGGGGGTTTTTTTTTGGTTTTTTTGGTTTTGATGGGTTTTTTTTTTTTTTTCTTTTTCCCGGTTCCTTTGGGGTGCGGAGGT